GCAACAGTGGTCTCATAAGATTACACAGTTGGTCCTTGAACAACAAGGGGGTTACAGTGTCAACCCTCCACACAGTCGAAAATCTATGTATAACTTTTGACTCCCCCCAAACTTAGCCAACAATAGCCTACTGTTGACTGGAAACCTTACTGATAATATGAACAGTCAATTAACACATATTTTGTAATGTTATACGTATTATATACTATATTCTTACAATAAAATAAGCTGGAGAAAAGAAAATGTTATTAAGAAAATCTTAAGGAAGAGATCATACATTTACTATTCATTAACTGGAAGTGGATCATCATAAACATCTTCATTTTTATGGCCTTCACTTTGAGTACACTGAGGAGGATCAAGAGGAGGGGTTGGTCTTGTTATCTCAGGGGTGCCAGAGGTGGAATAGGTGGAAGGAGAGGCAGAAGAGGCAGGCACACTCAGTGTAACGTTTGTTTTTTGTTTGTTTGAGACAGAGTCTTGCTGTCAACAGGATGGAGAGCAATGACACAATCATAGCTCATTGCAACCTCAAACTCTTGGGCTCAAGCGATGTTTCTGCCTCAGCCTCCTGAGTAGCTGGGACTACAGGTGTGCTCCACTGAGCCCAGCTAATTTTCTTTTCTTAATTTTTTGTAGAGATGAGTCTTGCTATGTTGCTCAGGCTGGCCTCTAACTCCTAGCCTCAGGAGATCTTTCCACTTCAGCCTTCCGAAGTGCTGGTATTATAAGTGTGAGCCATCCCACCCAAACTTAGTGTGACTTCTATTGAAAAAAATCTTCCTATAGGTAGACTCATGCAGTTCAAACCTATGTTGTTCAAGGTTCAATTGTAATTCTATATTATTACCCTACCTTTTCTATGTTTAAATACACAAATACTTTCCATTGTGTTACAATTGCCAAAATGTATTCAGTACAGTGACATGCTATACAGGTTTGTAGCCTAGAAACAACAGGCTATATACCACATATCCTAGGTGTATAGTAGGCATACCATCTAACACTCTATGATGTTCAATCAAATATGATATCACCTACCGATGCATTTCTCGGAGTATGTCCCCATCATTAAGTGACGCATGACAGTATCTGAGCCAGGTCTACCAAACTCCAGAGTATGTCCTCTTAAGCTATTCACACTCCCCTCAAACTGTCTAACTCAGCCATATAGCACTACTTTCAGTTCCTAGAACTCATCTGCTCTCCTTGCCCTGAGGCCTTCATACATACCCCTATGTCTGGAATGTCCCCTCATAAATCTCACCTTTGTATGCATAATATTTATTCATTCATCATGTCTCTGCTTAACTGTCAGTGCCGCAGGGAAGATTTCCCTTACCATCTAAAATGTCTAAAATGAAATTTTTTATTTGTTTACTTCTTTATGGTCTGTTTCCCTTAGGTATAATATCAAAATTGTCACCACTGGTCCTCAGTTCTCAGAATGACATTCAGCAGGGGTTCAATAAACATTTGTTGCATAACTGCATGCATTAATGAATGATGCTGGGGGGTGGAAACTCCTTAAACTGAAAACTTCATCTATTCAGATTACTAATGAAAACAGAGGAAAATACAAATTTGTTCATCCACTGATCTTTATTTAGTAGTTTCCAGGTCCCAACCAATACTCTTAAGAACTCGCAGCCTTCCTATGGGAGACAGACACATAAACATGTGTTTATAACACAATGTAAGTAAAGGCCTGTTATAATTGAACAATAGATGCAGAGATTTTAAAAAGAGTATAAATCTATAGGGAACCTTCCCAGGAAAGGAAATTCTTGAGTCCTTTTGTAGGATGAGCGAGTCTTGAAATACATATCTCATAGTCTATGTATTTTACTTTGGGAGAGGAGCATCTACTATGTATACCAGAGTACTTTACATCTTACTTGATTCTCACAATAGCTCTGTGTTGTTAATCCCATTTTATAGATACGGACATCCAAGCTAGAAAGTTCAAGGAATTTGCCCAAGATTATAGGCAAGGACATTAGTAAAGGAGTGGAATTTGACTAAGAAGGAAAAAAACCAAACCAAACAAAACAAAACAAAAAAAGGAGTGGA